GATCCTGACTACTTTGAGGAAAGGAGTCCTCTAAGCTCCTTCCAAACAAGCTGTAAGTTTGCTGACAATCACACGAGCACATCTTCTGCCCTTACAAGCAAAGTGAGTCCAGCAAGGCAGCTAACTTACACAGATGTGCCCTATATTCCTTGTACTGGTCAGCAGGTTGATATTATGCCTCCCCAAGTCTTCTTTTATGTGGACAGACCACCCCAGGTGCCCAGACAGTCTCCAATCATGGCAGAGGAAAGGGAAAGCCCAGACAGCTGTCTACAGCCTACCGCAATGAAGCCAGCCAAAAGAAGCCCAAGGAACCTCAGAATGAAGAGCTTTCAGCAAGACTTTCAAGAACTCCAAGAAGCTATGGCCCAAACTACCGGCAGGGGCAACCTCAATGTAGATCTAGAAGAGGAAGATCCAAATTTAGAATATGCATTTGCATATAACATTCAAGAGCCAACCCCTAAACGGTCCCAGAGCCAATCAGACATGAAAACTATCCGTTTTCCTCTTGGATCAGAATTTAGACCCTTAGGGCCTTGTCCTGCTCTGAGTCGTAAAGCTGACCTGTTTACATATGTGTTTGCAGAGCAGGAGTTTCCAACAGTTTTAGTGGATCAGGGAGCAACAGAAGGGTATGTAGCTAGTGAATCCAGTGATTCTGAATCAGAGATTCTTAAACCAGACTACTACTCTTTGTATGACAAAGGAATAAGTTCACCCACGGCCAGAATCCGCTTGTCTTCTGGTAGCCTACAGCTAGATGAAGGAGATGAAGATGTCTCTTTCAATACATCAAGTGCTGAAGATGCGACTTTGTGAAAACCACGTAATTACTTTTTAGCTTAAAACGTGAACCCTATGAACATTTCCAGGCCAATTCCACGTTACTAACTTAGGTGAAACATAAGGAACCTTCTGCAAAAACCACTTTCTTTGTTACTATGCATTGGTATTAAGGGACTCTTCTAAGATTAGGCACTTAGCTTATGAAAGATCCAGCTCTGCCCCATTCCTCAAGCCTCACTCTTCTATTCCCTCTGAATCATTCTGGAACATGCCCTTTCCTCACCAGCCCCGTAGCAGAGTGAGGTGGGTATTTGTCATCTCCATTATACATTTCCCCAGAGAGACATTATAAACGAAGGTCAGGTTCTTCAACACTGAAGAACAGTGACAGTATGGATTGACCTATAGAATTGGGTTCTGATATCATTTAGCGATTTAGTAGACTGTGAGTGTGTTGGTCATGTTCTTAAACAATACTACAACTAAAGGTTTCAGTCCTCATTATTCGTGTGGAACCCAGTAAAAATGGCCCTGTTTTATGTTAAAGACTTCAATTTTTATAACATATGCTAGGGGGAGCATGGCTCTCCTATATTCCAGGAACAAGAAGGAACATAGATCCTCTCAACAGAACGCAAGTTTATAATTAATCTAGGACTTGGCAGAATTCTAAACCTAAGGAATTCAGGAATTGACCAATTTCTAAAGCCAGACATCTGCCTGATGGGGCTAATATGATGTATGACTTATTCTCTATTCTTAACTAGCTGTAATATGTAGTGAAAGATAAAAGTTAACATGTTGGTCTGTTTATGTAATCTCTCCTGCAAGCATTTTTTTTTTTTTTGCCATATCTTGTTGTGTGCATGTAGGCAAGGAAATGAGATGAATAGCATTTTAATAAAGAGTGATGGAAACCCATTTATTTGAAAATTAAGTTGTAAGTATGAACTTCATTTTGTTTCAGTCAGTTTCAGAAGTAATTGGCTCTAGCCTATAATTAAGGGAAGGGACATTTAGAGAACAAGGAAAAGGAGGGAAGCAGGTAAAAATGTATAGTCAGGGATGGAGAAGTGGTAGAACTGGGGTAGCTGAAAAAAATAGGATAGTACTCCAGGCTGAGTTAATGAACCTAAATTCTATTCTTTTTTTTTTTTTTTTCAAAATTCTATTCTTGACCCATTCAAAATTTCTCTATTATTTCCCTTGGAAGGTATAGAATTCTATTTGAGAACTTTATTTTCTTTATTGATTTTAATGGTAAGTAAAACATATTTACAAGATAATGTTAGGTAGTGACTTCAAAGAAATGATGCAATTATGTAAGCAAGCTATTTTTATATATGACTGAATGGAGAAAAGATGGATGGTATAGTTTTCTTACTCTCCTAGTCCTTACACCACAAAAATCCCTTTGAGTATACCTCACTCTACCTCTTTCCAACATGCTAGCACTTTCCTTCCTGCTCCTGGAATCGAATCCAGTAACTCACAAGTCTAGAATAGCTATTTAATAATAAGAATATATTGAAACCCAATCACCTATATATTAATCCTATAGATACTCAAAGCTATATTAAGTTCATCTTTGACCTTTTCTCTAGGAAAAACTCAAATTCTTTTAGGATTATATGCTATTTCTCATCTCAGTTTCTAGAAATCTTTGTGAAATTTGTTTCCCCCAGAGAAATACAGCGTTCAAATCTGTATAAAATTTCCTAATAAAACTATAACTAGGGTGACCATAAAGTTTATTGTGTAACCTAGGAAGGACATTTTTGAGTGAAAGAGGACTCTATTAATAATTTTGCCAGGACAGGAGGCAGAAATCAGGACATATTCACTGGAGCTATAATCAATGTTTAATAAAATGTGAAGAATACCTTCTAGTTTCCAGTGGAAACACTGGTGTTAAAGTTCCAACAATAAATGAAAGGGGACAGGAGAAATGATTTGAAACAATTAAAATACCACACCATACCCCCACCTCAAGAAAACTAACATTGAGGACCGGAAAATTTAAATATTTATTTTAACCGCCCCCCCCCCGAAAACACTGAAGTATGCTTACCCAGAAACAGTTTACAGGACTAATAACTATAATGAATAAGCAATACAATTTTCTATCCATGGTGCAGCTGTGCTGTACAGTTTCAAATAATCAATTTAAAAATTTGTTGCTTTTATTTTTAAAAAAATATTCATTTGATACATGATATGAGCTGCAAAATTACCACCAGACCTCTACAAATTATAAACTGTAATTGAGTTTCAGTTACACAGCAGGTGAAAAATTTAACTGAACTATTACTTCAAAATACAACGTGTTAAAAGTAATTATTACAGTATAGGCACCAATGAAAAAATTTTCTTGGCATATGACACAAAAACAACTTATTCAAGTGTCTGTATTATTACAAAAAAGGAAGAGGTAATGGCCGCTTTGACTAAAAACTGTATTCTTCACTTGAAGAAAATCTTTCTTCTAATATTTGGCAATTATTCAGGTTTATTAAAATGACTTTTGTGCAAAAACCAAATTGTTCAGACCCAAACAATAAAACATTAACTATCAAAACTAATTAATATCAATGATTCTACAACTACTGAAATATAGCCCCACTTCAGAACTTAGGCAGGCATAATATATATACTGGGCTTAAAAGAAAAAGGTATTACCCATGTAACAGTACCATAAATATAACTGAAAATTAACTGTACAGTCTAACTTACCTTTGTACGGACAGAAATCATCCTGTACTATGGTTATTTTCATATGAACTAGAAAATGCTTATTTAAATACCCTTTCAAAAATGAACAAATGATGTTTATGTATTGATAGTTATGAGGGAAAAAAATGTATAAATAGTTTATAGGACATTTTATAACCATGACAAAAATATGCTGGTATAAATTATATTCATACCTGTTGATCAGGTATTTATAATCACATGATAATCAGCTTCTTTTAAGCTCCCCAAATCCAAGCATATAATATGCGATTTGAGTTGATTTTAAAAATGAATTAAAAACTAATTCTTCCGGTATTACCAAAAATCCATCCTTGGCTAATTAGTACTGCTTTAACTTTCCAACCATGTTAAATAAGGGTCAATTGTGTCTTCTATAAGAGAAAGTAAATACTGCACACCAAGAGGTACCTCTGTTGCTACATGTTGCCTCTAAATGTTTCAAACGCAGTGCTCTCAGATGTGATCATCATTGAGCTGCCTGGAATATCATACCCACTTGGGAGAAGAGTCAATAGTTTTCCAGGTTTCATTTCTAAGAGCTTATTAAAAACTTCTGCTTTGGGCTTCCCTGGTGGCGCAGTGGTTGAGAATCTGCCTGCCAATGCAGGGGACACGGGTTCGAGACCTGGTCTGGGAAGATCCCACATGCTGCGGAGCAACTAGGCCAGTGAGCCACAACTACTGAGCCTGCGCGTCTGGAGCCTGTGCTCCGCAACAAGAGAGGCCGAGATAGTGAGAGGCCCTCGCACGGTGATGAAGAGTGGCCCCCGCTTGCCACAACTAGAGAAAGCCCTCGCACAGAAACGAAGATCCAACACAGCCAAAAATAAATTTAAAATAACCTTCTGCTTTAAGAACGTGTGACTTGTTTCCGCCTCCCCACCAGTAGTCATTTTTAGAATATGCTTGTGTTTAAAAAAAAAAAAAAAAAAAAAACTTTTTGAGGCTTGATGATTACAAAAGTTGAATATTTAGGATGACTTTGAAAGACCTGTATGTTTCATAACTGTACAGTTAACTAAAGATCTTTGTTTTAAAAAAAAAAAAAAAAAAAAAGCTTTTTGAGGCTTGATGATTACAAAAGTTGAATATTTAGGATGACTTTGAAAGACCTGTATGTTTCATAACTGTACAGTTAACTAAAGATCAAAACATGAAAGGTATTCATCCTAGTAACTTAAGTAATAATGATACCTAAAAGCAAAACTGCATCTCAACATTTACTAGAATACAGGTGAAACTATAGTATTAAAAGTTATTCCTTACAAAATAATCTCTTTAAAATATAAAATGATAAACACCATCACAAAATAGTTGAATAGCTTCTTCCAAATCTTCAATGTCGCAAAGATCCAAAAGGCACGTGGAGCTCATGAGTTAAGCATTGTTAAGCTTGAAGTAGCTTTGGTGGGTTTCTCTGGGTCCATATGAAATAGAAGCCACTAACAAGAAGTTTCTTAGGGGGATTCATCTGCTGAACACCTATAAAATTAAGAAAAACTTAAACTGATATACAACTATGCATGTGTCTATTTTACATCTGTATGAACTCTTCAATGAAAGAATCGATTCAGCAAACAAAAATTGTATTGCGTCTCATCATGTAAACGTTAAAATATAAAGTGGTTCAAAAATCCCTTCTGGGTCTGATTTTACAACTTCCAATTGATTTGTTTGCAAATTGGAAAAGAGGGGAGGTTTCCACTAAAAACTAAGGGATTTTAAGAGGGGCTTTAGCTGATGAGTATAAATAGGCTTTATCAGCCAGAAAGATCTAGGAGATTATGTGTTTTACAGGCTGTATGGTTTGTTCCAACTTGATCCCAGAGGCACCACAAATACAAAGGAATATAAAGATGCACTGAGAAGCAATATAATGGGATTAAGGCTAAGATTAGTAGTGCTTTTTATAACTTGCTTGAGCTAAGGAGTTGTGTTTGTATATGCAAACAAAAGTCTTGTTTTTAAAGGGAATTTAAAAATTAAATGTAAGAACTTTATTGAATGTGAACAAAGTTAAAGCAACAGTTCAAGAGGCTGTATAGAAACTGAAATCAAACATAAGAACCTTTTAGAGTCTTCATTTGAGTTTCTCTACCTAAAATCCTTAACTTTTCTTATGGGGGTTAAACTTAATGAACTTTAGCACTGAAACAATGTGAACAGCAGTGTGATAAGAGTAGTGGCAAGAATGAAAGCATACCTCAATGGTATTTACAAGGGTCCAAATAAGAATATGTCCCCTGATCTTTTGTCTGTACTCCTACTAACAGGGAGAGGAAAAAAAAAAAAAAAAAAGCCAGGCCATTTTGTTCAGTGGAAAACTACCTTGTAATGCCCGAAGATAATAATTCCAAAAGCTAATGTTTAAGGTGGGCAACAAACAAACAGTTTTCAAGCATATGACTATTAAGAATTGACTTTGTTAGGAATAAACAGAATGACTCAATCAAGTAGGTAATTATATTATCGCATCATAAATGAACATCCAACAGAAAATGTCAAAATAGTTTTTTTTAAATGACATTTCAAGCTTACTTTTGAAATTTTTCAATTAATTTCTTCACCATTTTATCTGTGATGCCAGGACAGGCAGCTTCAGCCACAGCAATACTTTTCTCCAGTTCTTCGATTGCCTGATTCCTGCTAGCATTATTCTCATCCTGCTGTTTAAGCTGAGAAAGATCAATAGCTATAACATTTAAAATTATTATACTTCTTAAAATAGATATCCAAAGCTAATGAATCTGTACTTACTTCAGCAAATGCAGGTGTGATTATCATAGACAAACAGCTCAGGGTTTGTACAAGATCTTGCTCCTTTGAACAAATATTATACATTATACACATGACATTAAAATAATCATTCATGTGCCTTCATTGGAATCCTCCTCCCAAAAGACCCAATACAGGGCAAGTTTCCATGCTTTCTTCCCATCACTAGTTCCCATCCATCATCCAGAAATTCTCTAACTTAGAGGATTACAACTGATATAAATGATTCCACTGGGTTTAGATATCTCTAGGTAAAATGCATTTTAAAACATACCAATGGCCACTTAAATGACTTCTATGACCTTTTCTTGATAAGCTCAAAACGAATGGCAAATGAAACCTACTATGGACACAGTGAGGTAGATGAGCGTTTAGGGGTATTAAATTCTAACAATTTTTGGCCATTATACTCTCACTATATAGTTCGAAAAAGTCTACCAAGAGGAAGTGATCATCTCCATATACATACTGCCCCATTCTGTAGTTTCTTTGCATCAGGCTTCTTTCGCACGGTGGTAAAGCTCCATTCAGGATGAGTATTATTTTCCCTGCTGGTGGATTCCCTAAAGAGATTGCCAGAGATACTCCTATAAGTTCCTAAATGATACAGCTTGGTGAAAATACCTAATCAATGCACCCAGACTCCGAACGGAGAATTGTCCCGATGTATAAAAAATCATTTGATCTCAGTTTCAAATAGACACTGCTTTTTACTGAAGAGTAGCAATGGTTCTCAACTCTAAGTGTGTACCAGAATCACACGTGAAGGTCTCTTACTATACATAAAGCCCTGCCCCAACCCCTTCCCACTGACTAGATCAGGATCTCCTGTAGTGTGGCTTGTGATTTTTTCTTAATTTTTATTTTGTATTGGAGTATAGTTGATTTACATTTTTGAAAGGCTCCATGGGTGCCAACAACCATTAGAACAGAGTAAAAACAACTATCCTGGTATTTTTCAGACCTTTTAAAAGTTGGGCAATTTCTCATAAATGCAAGTAGTATCTAAAGAAATTTGGTGTTGCCTTTGTGTCAATTCAGCTAGCGAAGGAGTAAATTAAATTATGGACTTAGAGGCTAACATGTTAGTATAAATGCTGCAGTTAAAAAACAATGCAACTTTTTAGGGTGTACAAATGAGATATAAATGAATATTTCAATGTCCCGGTCTGATCACAGTTTGGTACATGGCCAAGAGCTGGGAAACGTTAGTTCTCCAGAGGGATTTTGCAGGTTGCCATCAAAGTAAGAGAAGACATTGCTCCTTATCACTTTGGGCAAACTAGTAAAACACCTTAAATCGAACCTTGTTCCAAAATTTTGTAATATACTCAAGTATCCACTAGGGGTTAGACCGAGACCATTTAAAACTAAAGCAACTCACTTCTAAGAAAAAAAATCTGTTTCCAAATTCATTGTACTTCACAGACGGTGATTTTAAAAGATTTTCACAGTTTCTAAAGTCAGACTTTAGAATAAGGTTTATATTTTATGCTAGAGAAAGCATATTGGATCACAGTTAAAATATATGCAATATTAAAATGGGCTATCTACATAAAAATTAAATAATTGGTACATACGAATCAGAACCCTCAGAATCAGATTCGTCATCACTGTGTCCTTCTGCCTTCCATCTCTTAAATCGATCTATCAGTTCAGTCAGATAAGAAGTCTTCTTTGAATTTTTTACAATGAATTTATGTTTCAGAAGTTCTTTAGCTGTAGGACGCTAAGGAACAAAAAAGAAAGGATGCATGAATATTTCTAGGCTCTTTTGATTGCAAGGAGTGATAGGAAATCACTTCAGCTATTAAGCCGAAAGGTGTAAAAGTGCGTCTGCAGATATGAGGATAACTAAAATGCCATAGGACAATAGCTAATTTTATTTTTGAAGTGGCTCAAGGCAACCAAATTAAATTCACTACTTTGGTACCAATTTGCTAAAGCCCAATGGGCAAAAGGTGGCCTACCTACTAGCAACAGGCAGCAGGGCTTTCTTAAAAGCAGAGAAACACATGGCAGGACTTTAATAATTAAGTAAAAATTTAAAAACGTTTCAAAATAGTGCTTTAAAATACTTTTATTATATTTACTGTAAATTGGAAAAAAAAGGGTGAAAACTAGCAAGGCTGTAACTTTGTTAATTATCTGCACATATCATATGACCCCCTTCTTCATCACACATTAATTCATATCGCATCTAAATACAAACACCAGGTGCTGTGGGGGATACTTTTCCCCCTAGTATTTTATTACTATGAGAATATTCATTAGCAACTTAAAAATTGTCACATCAAATTCAGTCCTTGTATATTTCTAGTTTCTCGAAGTCATCGGGCAGCTTTATTTTAAAAACAGTAGAACAACTGTAATCAACTTTGCCAAGTAAATGAATGGAGCTCATTAGACTTCAGGAAACGTATACAACTTCATGTTGGAATTTCTGAACATTAAATAAAAAATAGTGAAACGCAAACAACTTTTCATGAAAAATGAAAACACAGATGAATAAAAATCATTGTGAATAGTTATACATAAACTTTCATAATGACATCCTAGAAAACGAGCTTTATTTCCCCCTGAAATAGGAAATGATCAACAGAATAAAGAAGAAGCTAGGGACCATAGAAAAAAGAGAAAAAGATGCAGGGGAAGGACAGAAGGAACTACGGATCTTGTCAACAACTAAACAAAATTAGCAACATAGAGGGAAGAATCACATTCCTGGATGGATCTTAGACAGTTTTCACAGGCACTGTATTCCTCACTGTTGAACAAACCACACTGGCTCTATGTAAATCTGATCATAGAAAATAGTAGTCATAGCACATATACTCACAAATGATGGATCTTTGTTCAGGCAAGCATCAATAAACTCCTTAAAGGATTTAGTAAAGTCTCCGACAAGAGTTGGAGGATTGTTTTTTGGAATAAGAAACAGAACCCTCATAGGATGCATATCGGAGTTAGGTGGCTCTCCCTTGGCTAGTTCAATTGCAGTAATTCCCAGTGACCAAATGTCAGCCTAAGGTAAGGAGGAAAGAACAATTACCTTGAAATTCCATTCCAACATAATACCACAAAATAACCTGTGCAGTCTAACGGTCATACAATATGAAAGTGTCTCAAGAAATGTGATGTTAATAAATTTTTATTAATATAATTCATTTATTTAAAAAAATGATCAAATACCCTACTTTGTGCCAGGTACTGTATTCTAGGCACTGAGGACTCAGGTGGTGACCAAACCAGACAAAATCCCTGCTCTCAAGGGGCTTATGTTCTAGTAGAAGAGACAGATAAATAAATAAATAATAGGATGTCAGATGGTGCTAAGTTCTGTGAAGAAAATAGTAAATCAGGATATAAGGGAATAATGAATAAGGTAAAAGGGCTGCAAATTTACACAGGATGGCCAGGGAAGACTGTTCTGTGTAGGTAATGTTTAAGCAGAGACCTAACTGGGAGAAAGGCTATTCCAGATAGAGGGAGAGGCAAGTGCAAAGGTCCTGAGGCTAGAGGGGACTTGCTGTGTTTATGGACCAGCAATGAGGCCACTGTGGCTGAAGCAGATAGAAAACAGAGGGCCAATAAAAATTAATTCAAAAAAAAGTGGAAGTGAAGAGAGATCAAAAAAAAAAAGAAAATAGAGGAGAGTGATAAGAGATGAGCCAGAGGTAGACAAGGGCCAGACTGTAGAGAGCCACATATGTCACAGTAAGAACTTTGGATTGTATTCCAAGTAGGATGAAAGGCCACTGAAGGGAAGAAGGTCCAAATATCACCAGCAACAAGGGAACGTATGATTTACCAGCAACAACTGACATGACTCTAGCTTTAGGAATACTTTAAAAGGAAGGAGTATTAAGGCAGTTTATTAAACAGGATAGTACGCTATATAAACCTTCATATTAAAAACAAGATAGTTTGTACAGGTAACACTTTACTTTTGAGTCATAAGCTGACTGCTGGATAACTTCAGGAGCCATCCAAAATGGTGTTCCCACAAAGGTATTTCTTTTAATTTGTGTATCTGTCAGTTGGCCAGCAACTCCAAAGTCAGCAAGTTTCACATCTCCTTGTTCTGAGAGCAAGACATTGGCAGCTAGGAGGGAAAAAGAGATGAAAAAACCCTCAGCTTCCTCAGAATGCACCTGTTTTTCTCAGGTTCACATTAGACTTGTGTATACCTTTTATGTCTCGGTGAATTTTCTTTTCTGAATGCAGGTAGTCCAGACCTTTCAAAATTTCCTTTAGCATGGTAGCGATCTGGAACTCATCAAATGGACCAGCTCTCAGCTTAGGGGGAAAAACACATACATACATATACATGTAAAAGTTTGGAACAATGAAGTTCGAACTTGACGTTCTCTTTGAAATAAGAGAATCGCTTAGATATATGAAGCAGTTCTGTTTATTAAACCAATATTTAAACAAATGAGAAAATTTTAAAAGGTGAGGAAAGTTAAGTCAAAGGGCAGAAAGGGTTTTTTAATGATTAGGTTTAATCTTGAAAGATAGTACAACCTATATACTAGCTCCAAATCCTAAGGTTCTTAAATATTTACATCAAAGATCTAAGAAACATGCTTAAATAATGACAGAACTAGCTTTCTTTCTCTCAGATAGGAAAAAAGAAATCAGCTACTTAAATTTTGGCATTTGCTGTTTAAAATTTATTAAATATTTACACCGAACTGATTTTTAGATCAGACGGTCCATAAGATTTTTGCAGCAACCAAATTTGATCATATAGGTCAGCTGTAGCACAGTTCTTAGCATTTGTGTATTTCAAAAACATTGTAAAGCATAGAGCCTTTTTTGAGACTCAGATTTAAATTTTAGCTAGGAATATAATAATTAAACTCTTCAGACTTTCATTGTAAAAAAAATATCAAATCTTGGAGGGATACGGTTTTTCAAATAAATGTAACACATTTCCCTGTACTAAAGCCAGTAGTTTTAACTGCAATACAAGGAAAGCAATGATTAGGTCTCAGGAGAATTTGTAATGGAATATCTGAAAATCTCTCCTTAAAATAAATGGTTATTTTAAAATTCTGGTACCTCATAAAGCACAAACAGTGGACTGTACAATATTATTACAGGAAAGGGTGGGAATCTAAAGTCAGAGCTGAGGTAGAGTTCTGTTTGCTGGAAGGAGGGAAGAGGTGGTGAAAATCAAATATTGCCCACTATGCCTCACACTGGGAGGGATTCACAGCTCTTTGGCCCCTTCTGTATTTCACCTTTCATGAATGCCATATTTATTCTGAATAAAGGGCACTTTCATGTTGAAATTTAACAGCTTAAAATAGAAACCACGCTTCGGTCACCATTTAATATTAACTATGCTCTGGATATATAGTATACTCCAGGGATGTTCATAGTTCAATAGGTGCCTTTCCTAGGTAACATTATCTGTTTACTTTCAAATATATCAACTTCCACCCCAAAAGTTTCTTTTTAAACAGCAGTGATTAAAGTCATCTAAAAGGTGAAAATGGCATATTATTTTATTGATTGCTGGCAATGAAATTCTGAGGTACTACCAAATAAGTTAAAGATAAATGTCATACCACTTAAGATTAGTACTTAGTATCACTGATCATAAAATGTTGACAGGGCCAGAGGAGGTATACCCTCAGTCACTTAGGAAATTGGGCAAGGTCCATATAAAAGATACTAGCTATCATTCTGAAGGATTTCTAAAAGTGCCCTGGATAATACAGAATTTTAAAAATATATTTAAGTAAAAACAAACAGAAAAGTGGTCCTACAGACCCATTCACTTATCTGGTATACGTAGGTCCAGTTTAAAATTCAGTAAAAGTAAAATCTCACTTAACTGGGTACCGGAGGGGGATGGTAGGGGCGCCTGGGTGGCAGGGAAATGGGAATGCGGTGGTGGTAGAGCTGCGTTTTTCTTGTTCACTATCAGACAGAAAACTGTCCCAAACCTTGTGGTTAAAATGTTTCCTTAGCCATGATGATAATGATCAGAAAAGGAGAAATAAGGGAGTTGGAAAGAGAAGGAAGGTAAAGTAGATGGAACACAGATTGCTTTTTAAAAAATTTCCAATGCAACCTTGGGAGAGATGACGCAAGATCTTGGTCGACTGTCCCTGGAGTGCACAACTGAGCTTCTCTCCAAAGACTGAAGACCATATCATGTCTCTAATAGCTAACACTTCTGCCCCCAGGGCAGTGTACTGGCCTTGTGTGATTTGCCTCTGTTGTCAACTGAGGATATGCAAGAGAGGGACATGTTCCCTTTCAGAGACTATCTACTTGTGGGCTTGGGGGTGTTCCCCATACTCTTTTGACTTCCAGCCAGTCCCTAATGCACCATGTTTTGCTATGCTTTCTCTTACAGTTAGCATATTGTTTCCAACTTTTTCCCTTGGTGCTCATGTTTTATTCTCTTAACCTCATTATATGTGTTTTTGTTGTAAGTCACTGCAATTCTATTTGGAAAGAAGTAAGGTATAATCAAGTCAATAAAATAATGTACAGTATGCTCAAAGTCTGTTCACATACAACTAATTATTTTTGTTAGAATGGGAGGGAATCTTGAGGTATATACTATATAATGTTGACATCAATACTGGTCATAATCATGTTCCATTAGTCAGGCACCAGTTTAAGGGATGAACACTCTCTACCCAGCATCCCTCCTGATTTCTCTTGTCCCTGGTAGCAGTGCCTTCCTCTAAGCCTGATCCTTTCTTAGATTCCCCCAAATGATAGCATTCATTCGTACAGGACCATATATGAAGAAGAAGCAGCACGTTTTCTCATCACTTGCTCTGCCTACGAAGTCCAGTCAAATGAGGTTTATAATTAAATCACAATATCATTAAGCGTTAGGGCTAGAAAAACAGAGTTAGAGAGATTACTCATCCAATTTCTTCATTGAACATTTGAGGCACAGGTTAAATGGCTTGCCCAGTATTAGCCAGCTAGTCAGTGGCAGAACCAGGACTAGGATCTAGGTCTCTTGATTTTAAGAACATTTTAAGTTCATTGAATTTATGCTAATAGGTATTTGTTGTATTTAGGTGGAGATCAGAATGGCAGAATGAGATTATGATCTCACAATCATTTCATTCAGAGATTTCATAAACCTGACCAAACTACTACTGGGGATACAGGTTGTATTAGTTAGGGCTGGGCCAGCGTCCAGTGCTTCACATTGCTATCAGAAATCCGATGAAAGCAGTGCACTAGCTTTGCCAATGCCGACAAAACAGGGAAGCAACATGGTAAGCACTTTTGGGGACCAGTTAACTGTGATACATTTGGAAAGGGTTCTTAATATTTAAGAAGTGGAAGGAGGCTCGTGGAGCAATTGTGAGGCTTCTTGTGGAGCTAATGAAAAAACTATTGTGTAATCAAACCATGTGACAAGAGAAATAGAGCTGAGATCATTTAACGGCAAGAGGAGAATGAGACCTGACTCCATAGGCATGAAGGATTATTATCCAAAGAAACACCAGTTATGTTCTCTCACTAGAGAGGAGAGAGAAAGAAAACAATGAACTCGAGCTTTAGGATATAAGAATTACATTAGACACCAGGAAGGATGATCTAACTCAGCAACTGATTAAACTGCGATGAATTCCTAGAAGATGAGGCTCTCCATCAAGTTTAATTACCATTTCTTTAGAATGGTTTAAGTATGGCTCTGTTTAAAGGGAAGAAAATCGCTTATGGTCATTTCTGTTCACAGGATTATTTGCAACTTTGGAGTCACTGGCAGTCAGGATGAAAGCCTTTAAATAATATTTGATTACTTTCAGTCAGAAAAACTCATCTCCACTTTAAAAAATAAGAATTAAAATTACTTTTAGAAACAGCAGACTCTATAATTTCAAAGGCAGAAGCATATTATATAAAAGTCATATTATATTAAACATGGAAGAGGAGCTTAGTGCAAATTCTTTGTTTTATAGGACATCCAAGTCCAAGGAATTTATGCGTCTGGTTCACAGTCACAGATTTAGTTATAAATAGAGCCAGCGCTAGAACCTCAAACTCCCACAGGCCAGCCCAGTGGTTATTCTACTACACAAACTTGTCTCTAGTCATTCATATTGCATTTTAAGTACAATGTCATATTAATAAAGATTTAAAAGGCGGGGAACAACACTGACAGAATCACACCACTTGGGGAAAACAACCAGTGTTTCTCAAAAACATTTCATGCACGAACATATCTTCATTGGTTAGAGCTTTTCCCGCATATACTGCAGGATTGTAGCAGCCTGCTCCCTGCCCACTAAAATGGCTGTGGCACTTCCAAGTCATTGTGACAAAGATGCCATCACATTTCCAAATGACCTATAGAGGGGCAGAGAGAATTCTGCAGAGAGCTGGGTCTGTAGGCCTTCTTGGTCAGAACCCAAGAGCCAATTTTAGAGACAGTTATCTGAATGATATCTTTTTAAAAAATCTAAGAACACTGAGTCTTCTCAGGGATAAGCATGTAAAGTAAAACTCTAAACTGACGGCAACTGTCACACACTCATTCCTAATTTGGGGGGAATTTTATTTTATTAAGCTGTTTGCATTTCTTATATACTTTAAGAATGCCAGCAACATGCAGAACCCTGCAATATAGCTGAGTCTATATAAGAGTAGTAGTCCTGACGACAGAGTGAACATGTTAACTAAACAACTGCTTAGCTTGTCCAAAAACCATTGCTTACTCCAATTAAAAGAAAAAAGTGCAAGTATGGATATATGTGTGTAATTATTTAAAA